GTGTGCAGTCCCACCCGGCAGGAGACCGGCGCTCGCCGTTCTGTGCGAGTCATGAACTTGCACAGCCTCCCCGCGTACCCCGCCGCAAAATGGAGGGGATTTAGGGATTGATGCTAATCTGCTTCCCGAGGGAGGTAATTGGAAGCGTTGCTCAGAAATACGGCCTGCAGCAGAGACAAAGAAGTGAATCTTCCCTTTAGGATATATTTTCTTCCCCCCAGCTCCTGCCCAGCACATTTTCAAGTCAAAAATATATGGAGAATTTAATGTAGCTGCCACTGTGCCTTATCGGTAGCTTTCGCTCTGCCTCCCCTTATAGAAGACGAAGTGAGCACATTCAGTGCAGTCGGAAGATAAGAGCTGAATAGAGCTGAAATCAAGGCCACACCAGGAAAAAGATACTTAAAGATTTTAGCGACAAACCTTGGGAGGCAAGGGCAGGCAGGAACAAACAGAAAAATACCACCACCACCACCAAAGCTGCAGTTTTTCAAAGCTTATCTCTGCACTAAATCTAACAGATTTTTATAAGGACAGGAAAAATCCCAAAAACCTTTCACATGTACTCCAAAGCTCGAATACATTGAAATGGAATACATTAATGCAAAAAGACATGAAAATGTTACTCAGCAATAACTCTTTCCTCCAAGACTTTCAGAAATAGTTCAACCTTTTTGTCAGGTTATAAAAAAAAAAAAAAACAAAAACCCAACAATGTCAGCCCAAGGCAAAGAACAACCTGGAAACTAGAGAACTAAAGAACCTGAACAGTTAAAACTAGAAGCAACTCGACCAGGAACATATAATGGAAAACTATATGCAACCAGCATCGCTGCCAACTTCACATACTTGAAGCTGGGTTCTCCTTGCAGGAGATGATTACTCGTGAGTAATCTCCTTGATTTCCCTGCAAGCCCTTCCCTGCGTGTGCATTGCCCACGTAAGTGCGTCTGGCCACCAGGATGGGGCTGCGGCTCCCGCCGTGCCTCGCTGGCTGCTCTGTCAGGGAGGGCGGTGGCACGGGTGAGGACACCACACTTCATCCAGGAATAGGTGGCAACAGAGCAAGTACCTACTTGAGGCCTCCTCTGAGATTTACAGCCCTTGGGCTGACGTCTGGAGAGAGGAGGCAGTTTATGACAATCCCGCTGTAATTTTGAACGCGGTTTTCAGCCGGTGGCCCCAACAGCAGCAGGTTTTCTGCTGCATGGCACTGCCCCGCGTCCTGCAGTGGACAGGTGGTGAGATGAGACCTGCAGCCATTGCTGGAGGCTGCAGCAGTTCCTTGCAGGGATGCCCTGGTTCGATGGGACTTGGCAGCTGTGAGCACCCTGCCCTCAGGGTTTGGGGTGATCCTCAGGGGGTGTCCTCATGCTGCACCACACCCTGCTCAGCACAATGCTCAAATCTTTCTGCCAGGAGCTGCCTCTGCTGGGAGACTTGGGGACAATTTATGATCAGTGGGTACCTACTTGAGAAGTGTTCCTCTCTTCGAGCCCTCTAGTATTCTGTATTCCCATGATAAATTGCATAAATACTGAAAATAATTCTGGATTCAACAATTATTAGGGAACACACAGCAAGGACCATATGAGGCATTACTATCATTTATACCCAACTTCTTTCTTCAAGAATTGTACCATTCCGGCTGTGATCAGATACAAGATGGTACAATCCACCTTGCCATGCAAGCCAACCCAAGAAACACTGACAAGATTTCAGATGATTTCAAGTCCTAATGCTCGATAGCAAGCACTTCCTGAGTTACAGAAATCCTTTGGGAAACAAGGAAGGATGGCTTTAAAAAGTCGTTGACAGCTCACAAACAGATAAAAAGAAGATACAGATTCATCCCTGCAATGAGTTTGTGATGGCTGCTGCTCCCAGTCTGCAGCCTTCCAGCTCTGCTCTCCTCTTCAGAGAATATGCTGGGTGAAGACAGTCAAGCCTTACATTTGCAAGATCCGTATGTGGGCAGTTACTTTCTCACATTATGCACCTAAGTGCATACTTGAGCATGCTACAATGAGAACTTAATGACCTCTGAAATACCATGTTCAGTTTCGTGCTTCTCACTACAAGAAAGAGTGAGGTGCTGGAGCATGCACAAAGAAATGCAACGAAGCTGGTAAAGAGCAGGTCTTATGGGGAGCAGCTGAAGGAACTGGGGTTGTCTAGCTTGGACAAAAGGAGGCTCAGAGGAGACCTCACTCTCTACAAGTACGTGAAAGGAGGTTGTAGCAAGGTGGGTGTCAGTCTCTTTTCTCAAGTAGCAAGTGATAGGGATGTGAAGAAACTCAAGTTGAGCCAAGAGAGGTTTAGATTGGATGTTAGGAAACATTTCTTCACTGAAGGGGTTATCAAGCATTGGAACAGACTGCCTAGGGAAGTGTTTGAGTCATCATCCATGGACCTATTTAAAAGACATGTAGATGTGCTGCTTAGGGACATGGTTTAATGGTGGACTTGGCAATAGTAGGTTTATGGTAGGACTTCATGATCTTAAAGGTCTTTTCCAACCTCAATGATTGTGTGATTCCATGAAACCATTTGCAAAATTGGGCCCTCTGCGTGTATCTGGCTTATCTGAAGTTCTTTTGATGGCATATGTTCATTAAGCCTATCTGTAATACTCCCATGATGACCTAGCATAGACCTTCACAAACTTAAATCCATAGCTGTTCTGACATGTGTTTGATTTTTCTTTCTGCTTTTCATTCAGTTTCCACAGTCAGGAGTGAGAAACAAAGAGGGATTAAATTAGATTCATCTCCATCATTCCAACAATACTGAATTTGTGTGAAATTCCTTCTGCTGTCTGTGGTTTAATCACCAAGGGATTAGATGAAAACAAGTATTTGAGGTGTGTGGCATGCTGCTATTCTTTAAATATCTGCCATAATAATGTGAACTTCATAAAGCTATTGCTAATCTTGAATTATTACCTGCCTTCCTGTGGTTTGGCATGATTAACTCAAGGAAGAGATTAAAGTGATATTTACTTTTTTTTGAGCAGTTCATCAGCTTGACCCAGACAGCCCAACACCAGAAAACAAAGGAAGAAACTGCTGGCAAGGATTCAGCCCACTTTCCCCATTGGTCTCCTGATACCTGTCATGGTTGTTGGGATGCAAAGCACTGGCAACATCCTCGAAGGAGGCCAATTGTTCCAGCCGCTTTCAGGCCAGGTGTTGGATGGAAAGCTTGCATGGATCAGACAGACTGTGATGTGCCTCTCCCGGATGAGACAGGAATTGCCTCCACTGGAGACAGTGACAGCAAAAGCAAATCTCCTGGCTTTGAGCTGGGGACATGGTTATCTTGGTTATGCCCACGCTGTCCTCCTGGAGGTGGATGGCACTTCTCCGTGGGGAGCTGCTGGACAGGAGTTTTGCCTGGGAAGGAGCTCCTGCCCGACCCTTCTGCCCGGCCAGGGCATTTGCAGGACAACCTCACGGGAATGGTCAGAGGAGCACCCCCTCCATTACCAAGCTTCCTCACAACTTACATTTGATGGAAGAAAGCCACATTTCGAAAGACATTGTATTTTTTTCATGCTGTTTTAATCTTGCTTTTGGAAATCCCTCACCAAGAAATCACTTTAGAGAAATTCAAATGAAAATAGTAACAGTAAAGTGCAGCCAGTGCTATTTCACTGTGAGAAAGCCAAACTGCATGGCAGGTGCTTGGGGAAATCTGAGGGAAAATTGTTTATATCAGAACTATTTTCTTTGATAAGTTTTGTCTTACACTAATAAAATCCTGGATGCTCATCTACAAAGCCTCCCATTTTTTGCTATCAGATGCTGGGTGTTGAATCTTTGCCTATGTCAGTTTAACCCCTCTTTGTTCTCCTTTGCATTTCCAAGTGGAACTTAACAGGCAAACAAACATAACTTGGGAAATGCCAGCTACATGGGTTGCTCTCACCCACAGCATGGGCAAGCAGCATCACCTGAACTGGCAGACCCAGTGTTTAATGTACTACCAAAAGAAGTATGCCAAAGGGTTTTGCCAGTCGTCTGAATCACAGAAACTGGAGGTGGAGAAGAGCAGGTAGGCTTTTACAGTGCATTTTCCTGCCAAGGCAGGATTGTTCCCTGCAGTATCTTCTAGTGAATTTTCATGGCCTGTTTTAAATGACCTTGGAGGATGGGGAGAGGCAGGAGGCAGGAATCTGCTAGTACCCTCTGGAGTCTTTTTGTCTAGTTTGAATAATATAATGTGGAGCAAGGGCAAATGGGTGTTCAGAGAATTTAGCTACAACACAATATTTAATGTAATTTTTGCATGCTTTTTCATCTCCAGCCTACTTGCTATGCCTGCCGCTGTGCCAGTAACATCAGATAGATGTAAAAAAATAAAAGTAACAAAAATAGTGGCAATACTCCATCTTTGCATGATTGCTCTTCTATTCTCTTAGCAGGAGATTGTCTTGGGTGTTTTCTTCCCCTGTGAGGAAAAATGAATAGTAAGAGCTGTGATGATTGGCACTAAGCCTGAGAACAGCAGATGTGAGTTTGCACAGCTGGACAAAGAAAAAAATGCACTTTGCTACCTACATTTGTATTAAGGTTGCCCCAGGGATACCCCAGTGCCCAGGGGGGACTTAGCATATGAACAGCCAAAGCCATTAGGTACATTTACATATATAAGAACACTTGGTGTCCTTTTCAAAGTCAAAGAGAGC